TCTGCGGCATGTTGTAATAGTAATTATGGTTTGGGTTCATCTGAGGCGGCGATCTCTGATCCTGCGGACGGACAAAGTAAAAATGCATATTAGCAAATACGAATCAAATCGTGTGCGTTTGTTTATAATTACTACTGGATTGCTGTGACTCTTCCCGTGCTGATAGTGCAGAGGCGGTTGCATGACACCATCGTTCGGTCCGAAGCTTCCACCGCCTCCGACGCCTTGCCCAGTCTTGTAAGGGGGTTTGTAGTTCTTCGGCTTCGGCGGCGGTATCGGCTTGTACGTGTTGCCACCGCCCGGGGCGCCTCCACCTCCGCCTCCGTTCTCGAAGTTCGTTTGCGTCTTCATCGGCGAGTGATGGTGCGGCTGGTGAATGCTCAGGTGCGATTGACTCAGGTCCTGGTGCGAGCTCCTCGTGTATTCCGCGTTGTTGTTCCTGCTGTACTTTCCGTAGTCAGTCTTTGTTTCGATGTGCTGCTTATTGGATAAGCCCTGCTTCGCCGGCGATCTGGTATACCTGTAATAATATTTTAAATTTTCATTTCAGATGTTGCCCGCTTGCATACCGAATCTGGGCGGTATAACCCATAGAGCACGTTCGAAGGAAATGTCGAACGCAATCGAAATCATTATCTCCTCACCTGTACATATCGAGTCGTTCCGCATTCCTCGATTGCTGCATCATCGGATCCATCTCTTTGTCGAGCTCCCGCGAACTCCTCGGACTCGGATCGTTCTCGGGATTACCGTTAGGTCTCTCGTATTTCAGATCCAACTTCGATCCTAGCCGATCGTGCCTGTGCTGTTGTTGTTGCTGCTGTTGTTGTTCCCATCTTCCACCTGGATACTTCGAAGGACTATTTTGCTGTTGTTGTTGCTGTTGTTGCTGCTGCTGCTGTTGTCCGTTGGGCGCTATCGGATCGATCTTCGATAGCGTCGTCTTGAGATCATCGTGAGCGTTCGGTATGATTCGCGAGCTGTGCTGTTTCGGGTTATTGAATGAATCGTAGCTGCTCAGCGAATCAGACTTTGAATTTTGGCTCCGGTCCAGCGATCCGACTTTGGCGGTGTTGTTAAAGTTTTGGCTGTCGCCGGGGTCGTTGGGTTCCGCTTGCGAAGAGGGTTTCGTGCCGAACAGCCTTTCGTGGGCGGATCGCGCGTTCGAATTTTGTTTTGTGGGCGTGTTCAGGGGTGGCGGTTTGACGGCGCGATCGACTCGCGGCGGTAGATCCGGTGCGGTGCCGTAGAACTGCTCCTTGGGACTGGGTTCGCTCATGCTGTGTCCCTTGAAGTGACCGTGCACGTTGCTCGATTGCCTCTTGTGCGAGATGTTCTTGTTGAATTCGTTCGACTGCGTGAAATCTCCGCTGCCGCCGCCGCCACCGCCGTTATGATTGTACACGTTCGGTTTGGTGTACGACGTGTTTCCGCCCTGATCGTTGTTGTTCGTGTGATCTTGCGACGCCGGCGACGTTAGGTGGTAGTTCATTTCTTTGTTCGTAGGCGTCGTCGGGGATTGCGGTTCCGAAGGCGTCTGCGAGTTGAATCCGTAGCGCGAATCGTAAGTAGGCTGTTCATAATCAGATTGATTATCGATTGTTTTCGTTTAATTAATTGATTTCTTTATTTTACCTGGTAGGGTGGTAGGACGTCTGTGGTACTGTTATCGGCCATGACAACGCTCGGATCCGAGCTGGCTTTGGTGAGTCGTCCGGCCGTCGTCGATCCTGTGGCCGAGAGGCCGCCGGGCGATAGGGGTGGTCCGGGACTGTGCTCGAGGTCGCTCTCCGGGGAACTAGCGTACGACAATCTTAGCGAAGACATTGGGAACAGGAAATCATCGGACAGGCACTCCTCAGGCTACAATATTATATACACAAACGAGTTCATGAAGATGATATGATGAGACACGGAGTGAATTATATAGAGAGCAGTATGAGACATACACATTACATTACATACACGTGGAGTTAGCCAACAAAATAGAAATACAACGTAATTAAATCATAACATAAACACTAATCGGGGGGAGGTTAAGTTAATGCTGCTATTGTTGTAGTGCATACTCTGTTAGTGCAATTGCTACGGGTTCAAATCAATTAATCAATTCTCAATTAGTGTGTATAGAAGCGGGCGATGAGGAAGGTGGTCGGTGATTGTTCAATTAGTAAGTTTAATTAGCTGGGTTACGTTGGAATGGGCTCAAATATCACCTAAGCTCTCCTCTCTGATCGGCAGAGAGCGCAGGTTAAAGTTAATGGGATTTGCGTTGGTCGTTAGTTTGGGTGAGACGCCGGGCGGGTCGCCGCAGTCATAGTAGATCGGCTCCGATTGGATGCGGTTATCGGTGGCAGCGGAGGTTGCGTGAGAGGCGGCGGCGGAGGCGACGACAGCAGTCGAATCGTCCTCGCCCAGCTGCATGCTGATTGCGTTAATGCACTCGATCAAATCTTTGTATTGCAAGTTGCTGTTCTTATTGTTGTTGCTGCTGTTGTTGCTCTTAATACGGTATGGAAGACTACTTGCATATGACTGGTTTTGGTATGTACTTGGGATTATGATCGACTGCTGGTAGCCGGAACTGTACAGGCTGCTCTGGCTGGGCGAGCAGTAGTAGTAAGAATCGAGCAGCAGGTTGTTGTTGTTGTTGAATCGGTTGTTGCGATCGGTCTCGTACATTGAATGGGGCAGTTGCTTTGCGCGCGAATTTCGCGCGTGTTGTCGGGGGCGGCCCAGATGGGTGCGTTGCGGTTGGTTTTGGTAATAGTAATAGGAGGCGGTGGAGGAGGAAGTGGCGGCAACGTTACCTGGGAACGGGGAGCAGGAGTTTGATGAGCGCGAGGGCGGAGGCAGCGAACGGCAGCTCTTCGCCCTCGGCACCGGTAAGAAATACATGTCGGATATTAACAGATCCATCCCCAGCTGCAAGAGACACAGTGAGAGAAAGACAAATTGTGAAAATAATAATTACAGTAACAGTAAGTAGTAGTAGTAGTTCGGTCACAGTTAACAATTATCTTAATT